GGGGGGGGGAGACCTTCCAGAAGCATCCACAGTGTCCAGTGCCCCAAAACTCTGCCAGCATGGCGGCAGAATATAGAAGAAATCAACTTGCTCCTTGCCTTACAGGGAATGGGGGGGGGACAATACAAAACTTCCCCAGAATGCTGCAGGTTTGTGGCGTCAGTGGTGAGGTCAAAAGCAAGCTGCTTTTACCTCATGTCTGTCAGCTATGCTGCCATATGGTTTATTGGCCTAGGGTTCGCCTGCCCGACCTGTGTACAAGTTGGTGCCACATTCCTTTCCTCTCGCTTCTCCCCTTGTTATCTCTGACCTTGTATTCGTGCCTGTGTAGTGTCTCCACTTTAATTAACCGTGAGACTGGTTTAGTTTCTCATCCCCGGTTCAGTTGGGTCATCAGTTACTCTTCGCCCGCGGGAGAAGGGGCGATTGGCCCACAGGTGTGTGTGGGGGACCTCTTGAATTCCCTATATCATTGTGTGCTTGTTCCTTGCTCGTCATTCCTGACAGTGACCATGTTACTGCAACCATAGTACTGACAATAAAGCAAAACCTTTCTTGGAAGTGTGTGCTCTGCTGTTTGGCTGTGGGTCCTGACAATGTCTCAGCGCCGGTCTTATGGGGAAATGTTCCTTTAAGACTGCCGGGGGCTTCACGAGGCAAGCCGCCTTCACTCGCATACTCCCAAGTACTTTTCTGCATCGTGTGAGGCAAGCGGCCGCTGCAGCCGGTTCAGAGCACTCTATGGCATTTTTGTTCCCATTCCCTCCCTTACTCCTCTGGAGCCCACTTGCTCATTTTACCCCCATCCCCCAAGGAGCTGAGGGCAGCAGATGTGGTCCTCCCCCCTATTTTTTGTCCGCACAACGAGCCCGTGAGGCAGGTGAGGCTGAGAGGAAATGACCGGCTCAGGGTCACCCGGCAAGTTTGCTGACAGGATGGGAGTTTGAACCGAGGTCTCCCTGGGCATAGCCCAGGTAACATCTGGGAACAGCAGTCGATCAGCATACAAATACAAGAGCTAACAAACAGACGTGAGGGCTGAGTTTGAGTCCGGTGTCACCTCCAAGACTAACAAAGTACAGATCTTACCAACCGCCTTAATCCAGTCTCAGCTATAATTGCCCAGTTACTTATAATAATAATACTTTCGATTTATTGATGGCTCTTTCCCACACACCTGTCGGGCTCGGAGCGATTTACAGTTACTCTTTGACAATTGGACTAACAGTATTCGTGGGGGATAGGGAAGACAACATACAGCATTTTTAAAAATTACACACACATTGCAGCTAGCCGGGGCTTCATCTGCGGGCTGGATCAGTCGTGTTCCGACGGCATGTATTCTTGTCGGCTGGCTGATGACGTCGGGGCTTCTTGATGTCGTGCTGCCACACTGCCACCGCCTGGCCGACTCGCTCCACTGCAGGGAAGCCGAAACAGCTCTTTCATCTTTCGATCTCGCCGCGCCTCAGAAGTCACACTCGGCAGCTAACACCTTCCCGAAGGGAGGGGTGTGCCCACCCCCTTACAGGTGGCCCCCAATTTATCTACTTGCCGAAGCTTTCGAATCGCTGGGTAGACGATGAGCTAGGACAAGGCTTGGTTGCTCACACCAGCACGGGACTAGAACTGCCAAAGCTTGGCAGTTCAGATTTATAGTTAAGCAGGGGGGAAATCCCCTGCGCCACCGCTCCCTTATGCATCTCTAAGTAGCCCTTCCTGGCAGCTAACCCCCCCCCACACACACACCTGTATGTAACGGCAGAAGAAGTTTTGTTTCACTGTATCTGAAGATGTGTGCATGCACACAAAAGCTTATACCTTAAATAAAACTTTGTCTTAAAAGTGCCACTGGACTCCAACTTTGTTCTGGTAGATAAATCATAAGAACATAAGAGATGCCAATGTTAGATCAGGCCAATGGCCCATCCAGTCCAACACTCTGTATCACACAGTGGCCAGAAATACCAGGTGCCATCAGGAGGTTCACCAGTGGGGCCAGGACACTAGAAGCCCTCCCACTGTTGCCCCCACCCAAGCACCAAGAATACAGAACATCACTTGCCCCAGAGCCCCTATCTATACCTTGTGGCTAATAGCCACTGATGGACCTCTGCTCCATATGCTTATCTAATTCCCTTTTGAAGCCGTCCATGCTTGTAGCCGCCACCACTTCCTGATGAGTGCCAAATATCTGTTGCATTGTTGGCAGAGGGGAAAAATTGACTTTGTATCCATGTTAATATTAGTTCATCCTTAATTTCTTTTTGTTGCTATGTGTTGTTTAGTATAGGAAGTTCTAGGGAGTTGGCCACAGAAATGCAAGTAAAACTGAGGGGTGACATGATTGAGGTTTATAAGATTATGCATGGGAAAGAGCAGGTAGAGAAAGAGGTACTTTTCTCCCTTTCTCACAATACAAGAACTCGTGGGCACTCCATGAAATTGCTGAGCGGTCGGGTTAGAACGGATAAAATGAAGTACTTCTTCACCCAAAGAGTGATTAACACTTGGAATTCACTGCCACAGGAAGTGGTGGCTTCAAAAGGGAATTCGATAAGCATATGGAGCAGAGGTCCATCAGTGGCTATTAGCCACAAGGTATAGATAGGGGCTCTGGGGCAAGTGGTGCTCTGTCTTCTTGGTGCTTGGGGGGGGGTCAACAGTGGCAGGGCTTCTGGTGTCCTGGCCCCACTGGTGGACCTCCTGATGGCACCTGGTATTTCTGGCCACTGTGTGACACAGAGTGTTGGACTGGATGGGCCTTTGGCCTGATCCAACATTGGCATCTCTTATGTTCTTAAGTTCTTACCTCTTTCTCTACCTGCTCTATCCCATGCATAATCTTATAAACCTCAATCATGTCACCCCTCAGTCATCGTTTCTCCAAGCTAAAGAGCCCCAAGCGCTCTTTAGTATAGCAGTATAACATAGGAAACTTTAAGGTAATCATCTTTGTACAGAGGGCAACGTACAAGGTATGCTAAAGGACGGTGTTTTTACTTCTGCTGTACATCCTCCAGGTAATCCATGCTATGACAGCCTGGGCTCACTGGGCGTGGGGACGTTATTGGGAGCCGTCTCTGCGTTTCTCATCTACACCAACACGGAAGCGCTGCTGGGGCGATCCATTCAGCCCGACCAGCTGCAGAGGCTGACGGAGTTACTGGAAAGCGACCCTGCAGTGAGGTGAGAGGGTCTGGATGGCAGACATTCATGATCTCTGAGGAAGCACGTTCAGCTCATCGGGGGGCTGTACCTACGAAAAATGTGTCTGGTGGTTGTGGGAATAAAGTACAGTAAAGGTTTCCCTTGCTCGAGAGCCAGTCAAGTCCGACTCTAGGGTTGCGGTGCTCATCTCCGTTTCCAAGCCGAAGAGCCAGCGCTGTCCGAAGACGCTTCCGTGGTCATGTGGCCGGCATGAATAAACACCAAGGCGCACGGAACGCTGTTACCTTCCCACCGAAGTGGTCCCTATTTATCTACTTGCAATTTCTTGCTTTCGAACTGCTAGGTTGGCAGGAGCTGGAACTAGAGACGGGAGCTCACTCCGTCGTGCGGCACCCTCGGGTCTCGAACTGCTGAACTACTGACCTACCACAGCCTGCAGTTCAGCGTCTTAACCACTTGAGCCACCGCAGCTCCTCAGGGTGGTGGGAATAACGGATGCTTATTTCTAAGCTTAGAGGGAAAGTGTTATTGTTAAATGAACTGTTTTTGTCGGGTGGCCAACTTCTGTGTCAGTCTGAAACACCTAATGGCTTGTTTGTCTCACTCTGTCTCGCCGCCCAAAACATTTCCCTCAGAGCAATTCATGATGTTAAAGCCACAGAGATGGGGATGAGCCAAGTGAGATTCAAGGCCGAAGTAGACTTTGACGGACGGGTTGTGACTCGGTCTTACTTGGAGAAGCAGGACATTGAGCAGCTGCTACAAGTATGTTTTGAAGATACACTGACTTTTGAACTGTGTGTTTTTCCTCCGCCTCTCTCAAGTTTGCTTAGTCTTAGATGCTTTTCATTTTGCAGATACGTTCCGACTTCCTCTTGTGTTCATGGGCTTTTACCTGTACAAAACTGAGTGACATTTGCAGCAGTGTTCCACACGTACCGTGAGGAACTCTGAATATTTTTTGGTGGGAGGTGGAATTGATGGTGGCCATGGAGCTCCTGTTGCTTTGGGCTGAGCTGGTGCGATATTTTCAAATGTTCGCCAACTTTCCAAGGGCTGGAGAATAAAGACTGGCCATACAGAATAGCCACAAGGAGCCTTCTCTGAGGGGAATCATGGGGAAAAACCTTTTCGTGGAATGTCTGCTTTCAAGCTGGAGGAGGGGCTGGGCGTGGGCGGGAAAGGGCATGTCTGACCAACCCCTCCCGACAGAATTTTCTGCATGTGGAAAACTACCATGTCGGGGAAGATGGGTTCAGCCTGGCCCCCTCCTGGCTTTCTACGAAAGGAGTTCTTGCACATGGGAGCACTTTCAAATGTAGGTCCCTCCCCGTGTTTTGTAGCCTGAAGTTGTAGTTCAAGACAAGTTTTTGCCTTCTGGTTCTGCTTATCTAAGTGTAAACCGAGAGAGAAGGTTCAGAACATGTCAGTTCCTGGCTCAGTCACCCACCATTCTCTAAGCTAGGCCAACTCGAGTTTTTTTGTGAGGATGGCAAATTAGAAACACGATAGATCAGTATCACTGGGAAGTAGTTTCACATCTCTCTCACTGTCTTGGCCGTCAGTGTCTCTCCTCTTCTGTGCCCCCGTAGAGTTTTCTGCTTAATGGATCAACACCTTCTGGTTGTCCCTGGCCTGAAAGATGCCTGATTAGCGTAAACTAGGGCCAGGGCCTTTTCTGCCCTGGCCCCAGCCTGGTGGAACAAGCTCCCAATCGAGATCAGGGCCCTGCGGGATCTACCCTGTTTCCCTGAAAATAAGACCTATCCCAAAAATAAGCCCTAGCAGGATTTCTATGCATTTGTGGTATAAGCCCTAGTGTGTCTTCTTGAGAAAAAATAAATATAAGACAGTGTCTTATTTTCGGGGAAACACGGTACTGCAATTCCACAGGGCCTGTAAGATGGAGCTGTTCTGCCGGGCTTTTAGTTTTAGCTTTGAGAATGACAGGAGTACTCCGTCCCTGAATGTTAGCTGCACAATGTGTCTTTTGTAGGACCAGCAAAAAGGATCCATACAACTATTAAGAAGGCCGTCCCCCTTTTTGGAAGACTTCACGCAAGGAGAAGCGGGTTTATAATTCTAGAAACTCCCGTTGGGGCTTGACTTTTAAAACACTGATGCAAAATTGTCTAGTAGTTAGAAATCTGTATGTACTGAATGTTATTGCTTATTGACTGTAATGAATATTTATACCTGACTAGGATGAAATAATGATAACGCTATGCACTTTACTAAATGATGAACATAAATAGAACACATTAGCTTGTTAAAAGGTTTTTATTTATTTATTTAATTTTATTTATACCCCGCCCTCCCCGCGCGCGGGCTCAGGGCGGCTTACAGTATGAGGTGCATTACAGCACCATAATACACAATATGGCACACAGTGTGATAAAAACACAATAAAACATTTTAAAACACTTTAATACAATGAGCAAACGCCCAAGGATCCCGCGTGACAACCACCTCTCTCCGTATTGCACCTGCCCTTGGGGCAAAGGGAGGATGATGTGGCCCCCTGATGTACCTTGGCCACTCAGCCTCCAGCAGCGGTGCTGCAATCCTGGCCCTCATTGATGGTAGTGGTAGCGGCGGTGTATATTTATTTGTTACTGGGCTTTTAGTTGAGGCAGCAGGCATCCAAATTCTTCCATCTCTCAGCCTCCCCTACCGGTAGCCCTGGCTATGTGTCCAATGGCCACCAGCACCACTCAGAAAAAGTACATCATCGCACTGCTACCAAGGCAGTGTGCTGTGCTGGTCTTATTATCTTCCTCTTAGCTTTATAATGTTTGTGATATTCTATTGTTTCATTGTCCCATCCTATGTGACCTGTGACCAGTGTTCCCTCTAAGCTGTGGAGTCTCGTGAGCAAAAATTCTACTTTGTGAGCTACTAGCATTAAAGTTGTGAGCGAGCAATTTGGCTGCTGCATAAATTGGTTTGCTCTGGAGCACTCCTTCCTGAGCTAAGACAAAAATGCGTGAGCCGGAGGCCAAAAAGCTGTGAGCTAGCTCACACTAACTCAGCTTAGGGGGAACACTGCCTGTGACCTGCCCTGAGCCCGCTTATTGGGGGGGGGGGCAGGATATAAATTGAATAAAATAAATAACGAAATAAATGGTATTGTAGGAGAGCTCTCTGGGCTCATTTTCGTCCACCAGTCTACTTAGATAACACATATTTCCTTTTTCCTGTACCTTGTATTTGCTTATTCCTGTGCCCTGTTCACACATTACAGTGAACGCACATACATCCTTCATAGATGTACATGCATCCATTTGTAAGAAAGAGCCAGTGTGCATTCGCTTGACAAACGAAGCCAGGGACCCGTCCCCAGAGAAGCGTCACAGTGACCGTAATATGAATGTAACATGACAGAATGTGACACGGCCGTTACTCAGTGCATGTATAAAGAAAAATCAAGTGGACACGGTACCCAGATTGTACATGAGTTCATTGTAACTTGTGGCCTGGGCTGTGGTCTGTTTGCATCCCACGGGTGGTCTTCGCACTTCTGCAGAGCTGTAGTCCAGAAGCTTCTAGAACTAGCTTTTAGGTTGCAGGAAATCACCTCCCCACAGTGATGACATTTGGGCTGCAGGTGCCAGAGGGAGAGGAGTCTCATCTTCCTGCTTGAGTCTGTCTCGTTTGCTGAGGGAGGGGTTGTGAGTATCTGCTTTGTTTGCAGAAGGACCCTGGTTTGGTCCTCATTATGTCCAGTTGCTGGAGAAGACCCTGATGCTGGGAAAGATTGAAGGTCAAAGAAGACGGGGACGGCAAAGGATGAGATGGTTAGACAGTGAAAAGTACGCAGACGGAGAGTGATTTCAGCAAAGCGTACTTTATTCGATCAGGAACAAAACAACTTTGGCCGGCTCGCAGGCCGGCTTATATCCCCCGAGAAGCCGCCACCCAAAACACACCCCTACTTCCCTATAGGTTATTTACAGTGGCCGAGAGCCCCATAGGCTCTCGGTTGGGAACCTAGCCCCCTGATTGGAGCGGGCTAGGATCCGCATAGTCCATTGTCTCTTGGAGCGAAGCTCGACGTTTGTCTCTGGACTTGTCTGGACTGGATACATTACAGACAGTGTCGTAGATGCAACGAACATGAAGTTGAGCAAACTTCAGAGGACGGGGGAAGACCGGAAGGCCTGGCGTGATCTGGTCCATGGGGTCGCGAAGAGTCGGACTCGACTGTGCAACTGAACAACAACAAATGTCCAGTTGACCAAAAAAAAAATCGAAAAGAGAAGGTGGTTATACCCTGCTTTTCTTTACCTTAAGGAGTCTTAAAGCAACCTACAGTTTCCTTCCCCTCTTCAGAACAGGCACCTTGTGAGGTAGGTGGGGCTGAGAGAGTTCTGAGAGAACTGGGACTGTCTCAAGATCACTCAGCAGGCTTCAAGTGGAAGGCAGGGGAATCAAACCCAGTTCTCCAGGTTAGAATCCGCTCCTCTGAACCACTACACCCCGCTGGCTCTCAGGACCCGAGTGATGTGAAGGACATTTACCTGAGAGAGCCACCACCAGTCAGAGCAGACCACACGGACCTTGATAGACCAATGGTCTGCCTTGGTACAGAATGTGGTGACCGAATCAGTTGGAAACCTTCACCACGAGGTGATTCTCTCAGAGCTGGTTTCTATGTCCTTTTGTTTAAAAAAGGTAAAGCTGTTATTAGTGTAAATTTTTATTCAGATATTTCTGCCCTGCCTTTCCTTGTGGCTGAAGGTAGCTGGCAAACCACAAGTAAATATGTTCTGATTCAAAGCATACAAAATCAAATGCTGATGATCACCTGAAAATGTAGTTATGGGTAATAATGCCTGATTATTGCAAACCGCTGTTCCGTTGTGTGGCTTTCCTGCACTTGTGCAGCATCCCTGGAACGCAGAGCCCTGCATCGGTCAGTTTGTCTATGCCACTCTTTTTGTGTGTGTCCTGCACATGACAGATATCAAACTGGTGGTCCTACTTGTTTTCTGTTTCTCAGCTGATACGGGGATAGTTGTGGTAAGCTGGGTGAAGCAGCGAACAAACCAAAAATCCCTTCTGTTTGCGGATCTCCTGGGCAAGGTCGTTCCTTATGATGCTCTCTGCGTTCTACCCCACCATTCCGAAAAAGGGAGAGTGACTTGTTTGTGTTCTGCATCTTGCTCTGATCCTCTTACCCTTCATTTCGTGGCAGGAAATCCAGCAGGTGAAGACTCTGGAGGAGTTAGAGGTTTTCATGCTGAAACACGGCGAAAATATTATTGACACACTAGGAGCCGAAGTGGACCGGCTAGAGAAGGAGCTGAAGGTAAGAGGAGGCTGGTGGTTAAAGAGAAAAAAGGTTTGCCAAACACAGTATTGATACCGGAAACGTTTACTACTTTTTGTAATAATTGGGGCGCTCCAGTACAGAAGCAGCAGCTGCGACAGGCTGATGATGGCCCTCGAGAACTTGCATTGATCTTCCCTTGCTTTGGTTTGCTTGGTGGTTCGGGGTCATAATTAATGTTCCCTCAAAGCTGTGGAGTCTTGTGAGCAAAAATTCTGCTTTGTGAGCTACAGGCGTTAAAGTTGTGAGCAAGCGATTTGGCTGCTGCATAAATGAGCTGGCTCTGGAGCCCCAGCCTTCCTGAGCTGAGACAAAAATGTGTGAGCCGGAGGCTAAAAAACGGTGAGCTAGCTCACACGAACTCAGCTTAGAGGGAACACTGGTCATAATCCTCTGAGATGTTCTCTGGCACCAAGCCTGCTAGATGAAAAGGGAAGTGCACAAGAGCGCCGTAAAAGTAGTAGCCGAATATGTCTTGGTTAAGGGTTTATTTAGAGTATATATCTGTCTGATGGCCCCGACCGGGGATGGTCCAGGCGAGCCGGATCCTGTCAGATCTTGGAAGCTAAGCAAACAGAGTATGGTACACAGTATATGGATATTATACTACGCAGGGATGATTACTGTGATAAGTGCGCTCAACTAAATAATACAGTACTGCAAAAATCAGAAAACATAGGCTGCTTAAATAAGTTAAAGTGATATGCTTTTTTTTTTACAAGGTTGGAATACAAAAATACAGTCCGTTTCAAATAAACAGAAGTGGTTTTTAACGAAGCAAATGATGTTAACGACGCGCTCCGGAATGTCCTGTGTCGTTTCGGTGTTCCTTCTTCTGAACAAGATTCTACAGATAATTTCCAGTGTTTTGTCTCATCTATAAGAGTAGAAATGAAGCCTGATGCTCACATATTTTTTTCTTCATAGGTCAATAAAAAAGCACAATTGCTAGTAGAAAATTCATTTCGGGCAAGTTACAGTCAAATGGAGTGCCATTACTAGCAATTGTGCTTTGTTAAAAGGTAAAGGTTCCCTTGCTCGAAAGCCGGTCGAGTCCGACTCTAGGGTTGCGGTGCTCATCTCCGTTTCCAAGCCGAAGAGCCAGCGCTGTCCGAAGACGTTTCCGTGGTCATGTGGCCGGCATGACTAAACACCAAGGCGCACGGAACGTTGTTACCTTCCCACCGAAGTGGTACCTATTTATCTACTTGCAATTTCCTGCTTTCGAACTGCTAGGTTGGCAAGAGCTGGGACCAGGGACGGGAGCTCACTCCGTCATGCGGCACACTCGGGTCTCGAACTGCTGAACTACCGACCTTCCACAGCCTGTAGTTCACCGTCTTAACCACTTGAGCCACCGCAGCTCCATTGTGCTTTGTTATTGACCTATAAAGAAAAAATATAGCATGAGGCTTCATTTCTACTCTTATAGATGAGACAAAACACTGGAAATTATCTATAGAATCTTGTTCAGAAGAAGGAACGTCGAAACGACACAGAACATTCCGGAGCACGTCGTTAACATCGTTTGCTTCGTTAAAAGATCTTGGAAGCTAAGCATGGTCGGCCTTAGTGTCTGGACGGGAGACCACCAGGAAGTCCAAAGTTGCGACGCAGAGACAGGCAGTGGCAAACCACCTCTGGACGGTCTCCTGCCTTGAAAACTCCTCAACAGGACCACCATAAGTTATCTGTGACATAATGGCCTTTTCCACCACATCTGTCTTAACAATCCTCAAGTTAGAAGCAGACGATTAAAATGGCTTTAAAGGAGGCAACCTGTCAGTTTAAAGCCTTGGTAAAAAGGTACCATTTTGGCTTGGTGCCTAAATGAAAGAGGGGGGGCGGGCCAGATGAGGCTCGTGAGGAAGGGCATTTCAAAGGAAGGCACCACCACTAAAAAAGCCCTGTCGTCGGTCGCCGCTGGCCAATAAGGGGTTCAGAGAGTAGGACTTGGGAAGAGGCTTTTAATTGGTGGGCTGTCAGTCTTGGGGCAGAGCCTCTCTTCAGTCGCCAAACATCATGAAGGCTGATACTGGGGAAGCTATGGGACCTAGCTTGGTGAGGGAGACAGTAGGAGTTGTATGGAGAGCCAGTTTGGTGTAGCGGTTAGGAGTGCGGACTCTAATCTGGAGAACCGGGTTCAATTTCCCCACTCTTCCACATGCAGCTGCTGGCGTGACCTTGGGTCAGTCCACAGTTCTCTCAGAGCTGTTCTCTCAGGAGCAGTTCTCGAAAGAGCTCTCTCAGCCCCACCTACCTCAGGTTGTCTGTTGTGGGGAGAGGAAGGGAAAGGAGATTGTAAGCCTCTCTGAGACTCCCAAGTGAAGGGTGGGGTATAAATCCAATCTCTTCTTCCTCTTCTGCTTCTATTGTGAAGATCTGGGTTAAATCCTGACTCAGCCATGATCTTTCCTGGATGAGCTTGGACCAGTCTCTCAACTTAAGCTTTCTCATATGGGGAGGGGAGTGGAGGGTAAACGGAGATCCCACCCCCTCCACAGCACCTTGTATTGAAGGAATGGTCGAATGAAAAGAGCGAACGAACACTTTCTTTTGCGTATATTCTTTGACAGTCAGCAAACCGAGGAGTGTAGAATAGAATGGGGTTATCTCCTTCTTTCTTCTCAACAACCCAGTGAAATAGGCTAGTTGGAGCCCTGGTGGGCTTGCCTGTGACCGAATTCAACACGATCTGTATGCCGGTTTCCAGCTGCTGTTACACATTTATTAAACTTCTACCTCCTTTTGTTTTAGCAACGCAATCCAGAGGTGCGACATGTAGACCTGGAGATATTGTGAGCCCGGCAGATGTCGTCTGTGGAGAGAGGTCCCTTCTGGATCTGCTTTGTGGAGGGGGGGGCCAGGGCAGCACCGGACCCCGCCAGGCTTTTGAGACCCCTCTTCACCCGAGCTTCTGGATTCCTTAGAGCCGGCTGTTATTCAGAGGAGTGACGGCATTCATTGAACTGGATTCCTGGGACAGCCGCTTTCGCCTTCCGTTCCACACGTCAATCTGTAGTGGAGACTGAATTCTGGGGACGACATACTTTTAAGTTATTGAAACGTCACTTTCTGAAAATACAGTATATATATATTTGCTGTCCAGTTTCAATTTTTGTATCAGTTTGCACATCGGTTCCTGTTCAGCTGCTATTTCCTGACATTAGTTAGAGATCTGGGAGCCTTCCTGTCGCCCCCCCCCCCCCTTCAAGACTGCAGGCCTTTCTCAAGTCCTTGTTGATATACGCCAGCTCTGTAGCCTTTCTCTGGCTTTGTCTGCTCATTCCCTTTGTGTCAAGAAGGGAAACCGGAGCAACAGTGGAACCGCCGTGCCATGGAGATGACGTTGTTTCCAGTGCTGCGGTTCTCCTTCTCTTCCGAATCTTAGTTTGCTGTACCCACCTAGCAACCTTGTCCTTGCTACCTTATCCTCTGTAGCATATAGCACTAAAAGAAATGAAACTGTTAAAATGAGTTGGCTCCAAAGGTGCTCTTCTGACACAATGACACTCTAGACCAGTGGAAGAGCACTTCCATTGGTGGAGGGGGATTTTCGCTGATGTTACCCCTCTCACTGCAGAGCTATTTTTTTTCCTCCTCCCTGAGCTAAATTTCAGGGTGTCCAGTGGGAAAGGGGGTTGTCCCATTTCGTGAGCTTCGGATCCACCCCGTGCTTGCTGTGAATATCCCTTCTGCAGCTTCCCTCGGTTTTCAGTGTGTCTATGCCACATGCTACATCTTGGTAGAGGCAGCAGGGAGGACTTTTTAATTTGCTCTGAAATGCATTGGAAAAAATCCTGCATCCTCTGTTTATAAATGCTATGTAGCTAGTGCCATGCTTTTGAGGGGGGTGGCTTTATTTCTCAGGCATCAGCATGCCACACAGGAGAACTCTCTTTGAAACTGAGGGCCGTTGCAAATGCCGGGGTACGGTAATGGTACGGGCCTGCCATTTGATAATGAAAGTAGTCAAAATCTGATTAAGCGGCAGCTAGAGTAAGCTCTGTTGGGTCCCAGTCAGAATATATTTAATTTATTTGTAACTGGCGTCGCTTAGTCATCTGTAAATGGTAGATGGGTTTAATAGCACGCAACATCTTGGGCGTGAGGAATAAGACAGCCATCTTGAATGCGGCATAGTTGCGTTTGATTTAGGCTGTCGATGTTTATAAAAACGGGAGCTAAGAAAAAGCGGGAATCCAGATTCTTAAGCTGCCGCGACAATCCTGAGGCCGTTTAGTTTGGAAGATCATAATAAAAGACAGAGGAAGTGTCCTCGGGAGGGGAGAATTCTGTGGATTGTAGCCTCGGCTAAAAGTGAGCATAAATCGTTGAGCTTAAGTCATTCAGTCCTAAGAGCCAGTTGACATGTATGCACGCCCTTTGGTCCCTTAAGGCTCGATGTGTTGAATGGGCCCTTTTGGAAAACATACCTGTTCTGATCTGTGCTAGCTCTTTCACACAAGGAAGGCTGCTCTCCAGTGATGGAACATGTATGTTTAAAACCCGCCTCTAGTCATGGAAACAACATCCGCTTTGCGAACAAAATGTTTAAGCACTTTAAACGTATTTCAGTTGCTTATTGGGAAAATTGTGTCTCAGAGGTGGCTCCCTTGGAGTTCTCAGCAGTGCTGTCCATCTTGAGAGCAGCGTGGCCCCGTGATATCCTACCACAGGGTGCCAGGGTGTGCCGATGGAAATGATGGTGGAGACTTAAATGTCAGCTTTGGGGTTTGCAATACTTTAAAATGCCACGTTCTACATAAGTAGAGCTTAAAAGAGCATGTTGTGGGACGGTCTGGAAATGGATAGCATTTAAACCGAGTAATATTCCAAATTCTAGCTTTTAGACATTATTGTACATATTGTAATTAGTGTAACTATGACTTTGTTACAGAAGTTTAAAGGTGAAGGAATTACTTTTCTAGTTCTAATCTGGTCGGGGCAATTGGTAAATACTTGCCACTCCCACCCCCCCTGCTATGCAGTTACTCTAGTCTAAGGCTGGAGTCATTGCATTTTAAGTACTGCTCGCTGCAAAGTAGCCATTCTTTGTACACACTGAGCTTCTGTATGCATGTGAGCTTCCTGTGTGTGCAAAGGGTTCGTCGTTCCTTAGGATGGGCATCTCTTCAGGTCTGGGTTGGTCCCTTCGCTGGTCCTGAAAGGGCATGCCTGATTGTGCTGGTGCAGTTTTGTGCATACTTGAGTGTAAGCACCATTGAACATACTGGGACTTACTTCTGAGTAGACATGCCTAGGATTGCCGTGTTAGTCACTCGGTGATGACAATACTAAGGTTTAATAAGTTAATAAGGTTTTGTTTTGTTTTTGGGGTCACAAGCGATTTACATTCATACGGGTAGGCAGGTTAGTACCTGTTATAGGCTTATGTACAAGGCTGTCTCGGAGCTGCATCTTAATACTGGAAATGTAGTTACAACAAAATTGTAAAAATATGTAATGAAGAAGGCGGGTTGTAAATATCTGTATAAAACTACAACTTGAGTAGGTACTCGTGTTCTCCTTTGTCATCATAAACTGATCTTTTCTTCCTAAATGAAGAAACGTGTGTGTCCTCGTAAGGTGGTGGTGACCCTCCAAGTCTGTGAAGGTGAGACTGGTTGGCTCTCAGATAGTACAGTGAAGTCCCCTCCAGCGGGCATAGAATGACTGGAGGGCATAAAATCCTACCAAGGGATAGGATCATGATAGAAGTAGAACTTTCCTCTTTGTACCAACCAGGATCTGGGAAGTCTGAAAAGCCCTGGGAGAGGGGGCCCTCCTGATCTGCATGAGATTTTGGAGAGGAATGCTGCCCGATATCTCGGTCTGGCCCAGGAAAGAACTGCTGCGGTGTTCTGTTGTTTTTCTGTGCGTGGTTTTAGAAAGACGTGAGAGATGTCCCGTTGGGTTCGTCTCCTGAGGGGCCAGCGTTGCATTACTTTCCCAACCCCTTGGTCCTCATTAATGGCAGTTGGTTGGGTGCAATTGCAGAGGAGGAAACTCTGAATCCTTAACTGCAGAACAGACTGTTGGTGGAGAGTCATTTCAGGAGAGGGCAGGAAACCAGAATGTAGTGCAGATGTCATTTTCCTCCCTCTTCATCACTCTCTTGACATAAACAGATCTAAACAGTGTTTGCCTCTGAATGAAAAACGTAACAAGAGGAGTCTTCTTACCGAGGGAACGGGTTGTGTGGTTTGTGCAAATACCAATAATACTCAGGCCCGAGTGGGTTGTTGGGAACATTGCTAATAGAGTAATTTTTGAAGTATCTGCAGGGATATTGAATAATTCTGCTACTGGGAGTTCATTTGCCGCTGACTAGTCTGCCTCAATGGCGGGCAGGGAAAACTCTTCGGGTTGGAACAGTATATGATTGAGGTTGAGTCTTCATCCATTTGTGTTGATAGTCCTCGATCTTCCCCACTTCCCCTAGCAGGTCCGTCCATCCTGTCCCTGGGAAAGTTGATTCCCAAGGTCATAGGACCGGTGTGGAGAAATAGCCATGCTTGTTGGTAGGCTACTAAGCGACAGTGGGGAAGGTCTGCAGTTCTTGCCCAAACAGATCACTGGATCCAGCAGTGACTGGATCTTTATTTTGTACTAGTGTTGACTCTTGAAATGTCGCCCTTGAGTTGGGATCTTATTGCCCCCATCTGTAGCGATGCCGTTGGCTTATTTGCTTTGGTATCACAAGAGGGTTTGGAGACCCTTGGTCTGCTAGAGTGTTAAGAATGGCTTGGCATAGTACTGAAGTATCTGGATTGTTCCTTGATATTCCATTATCCACTTTTATGATTTAGTAAAAATATTGTGTAGACTTCATGGACTACACTTAGCGTGAGAATGTGTGACACCATTCCCTATCCTTTTTTGTAGAAAAAGATGACAATGATGGATTATGGCATGTGATAACATTGTGTCTCCTTATACGATGTAATATTTTAAGAGATTTTTTTTTTAAAAAGTCGTATGTGGCAACTGTTACTCTAAGTTGTAGCATTTTGCTCAGTCTGATAACCATGCTTGAAGTTATGTGCTTTTTGGTTTATTTTCATTGGTGTGTGAGATGTGGAATCGAGTTTCTATGCAAAAGTATGTTTTAAAAGAATGACCATCTGATTTTCTTTCCCTCCTTTTTGTGTATCAATCAGGGCAATTATAACCAAATTTTGGGACATTTTTTTATAGTTTCTGCCAAACAATTTGTGCCGAGTGTGTTAAAACCTTGAAAACAACTTCCTTTAAAATAAAATTGTCAGTTTGCGGGTTTTTAAATGATTTGTGGAACTGAATACAAATGTATCTGCTTGATGCTTCTTTTTGCAGGTCCAGTTAATTTCCCCCCGAGTTTCTGCGGGTTATTTGATTCAGGGAAGTCACCTCTCACTTTTGCATTGAGGCTGAACACAGGATTACAGGATTTTTCTTAGCTGATCATTGCAACAGCGCTGGCATTGGCCTTAGGTAATGTGATGCCCTGAAGCACTTTTAGGGGCTACTCAGGCAGGCCTACTCAACAGTAATTCCCATTTTATTCAACAGGGATTACTCCCTGGGAAGAGGATTGCAGCCTTAAACTAAGCAGTATGAGCGGTTTCCTATTTCTTCTCATCCATATTTGAGAATCGGCTCTCAACGTCTTTCTTCTGTTGCCGTCTGAATGCATCTAGTCAACAAAAGGCAGTATTGGAGTAGGGAGGAGTCACCGTGATCTGAGGACCCAGCTTTGGGAGCTAGAAGGGAAAGGATGAACGGGTGCGCACAGACACCCCCTCCTGCAGTTCCTATTGCTTACAAAAGGGGCTGAAACCACCAAAAAAAAACCCCCACAGCTCCCCCGTCACAAAATTTTGTGGTCCTTCTAAATTCATTTTCTGTAAATACTGCAGGCAATGGAAACGCCTCGATTTCCCCTCCACCAGCGTCGTTTGTTTGTGTTGTCTGCTTTTGTGTTGCATTTCTTTCCCTCCCCAGGTCATCACAGTCTTGATTGTGTGTTCTGTGTATTGCAGCCAACGATGCTCTGTAACATTCAAAGCATCTTCATGGCTGAACAGCTAGTGCCCCCCCCCCCCGGTTTATAATATTGAATGCCAAGCTCAGGTTGCCAACCTCCAGGTGGTGGCTGGGGATCTCCCACTATTACAACTGGTTTCCAGGCGAAATATCAGTTTACCTGGAGAAAATGACCATTTTGGAAAATAGACTCTATGGCATTATACCCCATGGAAGTCCCTCCCCAAACCATCCCCTCCACCACCAAAGTCTCCAGGCGTTTCCCAACCTGGAGCTGGCAACCCTATGCCAAGCGCTGCTTACCTCTTAGCAGTTTGGGGTGGTGTAGCTATATGGCTTGGGTCTGAACTGTGCAATTGGCTTCATGTGCCTGGGGAAGGGCTGGCTTTGGGCTTAAGGTTTCTCCAACAGCAGGCCTTCTGCACCAAGTAGCAAACAGCTACTGCAACTGAGGGTAGTTCCAAAGCAGTTTGTGATGCAGCATAGGGCTTAGCTGAGAGTGCAAACCATTACAATTAGTCCCTAGGAATCTCCTCTGAGAACATAAGAGATGCCCTGCAGGGTCACACCAGAGTCATACCAGTGGAAAGACAGTGTGTGTAGTGGTTAAGAGTAGTAGACGCTTATCTGGAGAACCAGGCTTGATTCCCCATTCCTCCTCCATGTGAAGCCTGCTGGGTGACCTTGGGCCAGTCTCAGTTCTCTCAAAACTCTCTTAGCCCCACCTTCCTCACAAGGTGCCTGTTGTGGGGGTAGAAAGAGAAAGAGATAGTAAACCATATTGAGACTCCTTAAGGTAGAGAGGTGGGGTAAATGAGAAGAAGAAGAAGAGATTGGATTTATATGCCACCCTTCACTATCCAAAGGTGTCTCAGAGCGGCTTACAAACTCCTTTCCCTTTCCCTTCCCCACAACAGACACCCTGTGAAGTAGGTGGGGCTGAGAGATCGCTGACAGAAACTGTTCTTTTTCAAGAACAGCTGTGCCAGAGTTATGGCTTGCCCAAGGTCATCCAGCAGATGCAAGTGGAGGAGTGGGGAATCAAACCCGGTTCTCCCAGATTAGCGTCTGCGCACTTAACCACTACACCAAACTGACATTCATGTCCTCCATCATCCTTTTGCCTGCAGTGGCCAAAACCTTGTCCTGGAGGGCCAAACAGGGCAATAGAGCCTAAGGCTCTGCAAGATGTTGCTTCTTAGCACTGGTCTTCAGAGGCCTCTGAATATGAAGGTTCTTTTTAGTCACCATGGGAAGTAGATATAGGTGGACCACTCCTCTGAATCTAAGTCCCTCTTAAAGTCATCTGTGATTATGGCCATCCATACATCCATTGGCTGTGAATTCCATGATTTTACCTCACTGAGTAAAACATTTTCCTTTTGTCTGTCCTGAATCTATTGCCCATCAACTTCACTGGGCGCCCCTGGGTGATAGTATTAAGGGAGAGTTTCATAAACCACTATCATACCCCCCACAACTTGTCTGCATTTCCTCATAGAAAAGGTGCTCTAGCCTCTTAATCATCTTGGTCACCCTCTTCTGTACGTTTCCCAGCTTTGCAATGTCCTTTTTGAGATCTGGCACCCAAATCCACGCACAGTATTCCAGATGAGGCTGCACCATTACTGTGCAGGGGAATTATGATGTTGGTGAGTTTATTTTCAACCCCTTTCCACACATCATTTTCATCGATCTATCCACTGTAACACCATGATCTTTCCTTCTCAATCTCTTCCCATTGGTTAGTTGTACCCAAAAGGAGCATCTTGCATTTCAGCTGGTATTCTACAAATCTTCACAAGAGATGTTGAAGTCATCCATGAGGGCAGAACTCAACTCTGTTCACTAATCACTCTCTGAGCATTCAGTTGGTATGTAATCCAGGAAATAAATTCTTGAGTACATACTACAAGTGGCTTTTGTGTGAGGGAGATACTGGGCAA